TACTCTTACCACCTTCAGAGGGGGGTTCCCAGGCCTGAGCAGGCCCTAAGCAGGCAGGGAAGAGGTAGAATCACCTGACTAGCATCTGATAACCAGTCCCCAGGGATTGGACAGCAAGGAGTCTGTCCCTCCTTTCAAAGGGATTAAGTGACAGCATCCTGTATGGAAAGGTTCATAGCTATGTTCTTTTCCTGACCCCATTAAGTAAATGTTTGTCTTATGTCCATGTTAGATACACCAGGACAACAACAAAAAGCATGTTTAAGGGAACTCTCGCTTCCATTAGAAATCACTAGCATATTTTTAACTATAGTTGTCCTTTCTCAAAAAAAAAAAAGTGGAGGGAAGATAAAGGGGATTTTATTGAACTCTTTCTGTGTCAGCTACTTTAATTGTAATGAGAGCAAATGGTCCTTAACAATACTGTGGGCCAGGTATTGCTTGCATTATGTAATCATCACACACCCCCCAAGTGGAAAGTACCACTTAAACCCAAGGTGGCAAATGCAAACACTGAGGACCAGAGAGAGAAAGGACTCTGCCCCAGGTCACCCAGGTACTGAGGGGCAGAGGCCTGCCAGTCAGCACAGCCTTCTCCTAACCATCACTCACACAGCCTCATATCAACCAGAAGCAAATAGAATCGTATAATTAATAGTCACTTATCAATGCCCCCCAAAGTTGCCAAAAGAAAAGGGGCAAGAGTGCTTTCTAAATTAAAATCAGGAAAGTTTCTAAGAAAGAAAATGTTCTTGCAAAGAAAGAACATAAATAACAGCTTATGTATTCTTTCCCATTATCACCACTGCTGAACTAATAAAATTGATAAAAGTGGAACACTATTTACATGACATGAGTTAAATTTTTCCATTAAAAAGTATAATGTTGGATGATTGTACACTTTTTGTGGGTGGAAGAGGGGGGAAAGCCTTTAACCCTCTGCAATTGCAAATGTTGGTACAAAGTGTTGCATATTTATTAGCCCATCTGCCTTTATAGCATTAAAGGGGGTAAAAACCTGACTACAAGCAATTTATTCACAGTTTCAGTTTTACCACCTGATGTGCAAAATAACACCACTCCATAAGCATTTATTATTGCGCTGAGTCATTTCGATTTTCAATTTAATTCATAACATTTTTTAAAAGATCACAAAAGCAGACATCAGCTTTTGCTTTCAAATTTTGGTTGAAAAGAATAATCACTAGTATTCGGGGTGAGCAAGATGAGTCTCTCACCAGCTTGTTTTTTGGGGATTGTGTTTGAGTTTTCAGAAACCTGATTACTAGGTTGTGAATGTGGCAGCTGCCCATTACCTAAACGGACAAGGTAGAGATTTGAAAGGTGAATTTGAATCAGGTATTTCTAGGGCAGATGACTCTGCTGGGAGGCAGCTGCTGTTTTTTTTGCTAACACTGAATGCATTCGCAATATAAGCTGAAACTGTTTATTGCTCTTGGCAAAATACCAGCAAGTGTCTATCAGCTGGGGCATCTTTCAAAAAACAATTGATCCCAAAATAACAATTAAATAAGGACTCAGGCAAACAACCACAGCCAGCATGTGACTTTTACACTTGGAAAAATGCAAAAAAGAACTTCAAGAGTGACCTGTCTACTCAATACTCTCTTCCAACTTGGCCCTGCCTGAAAGGGGAGAAATGGGCTTTTGAGTGAACAATAGTACCTCTCGGGTCATCTATTCCACCAAGAAGCAGAATAAGAGTCCTGTAAGCAGTACCTCTGAGTTCCAGTCTGATCTTTGGAGTCCAGATGTTTGTAGCTGTGTAGCAACCACACCAAACCTACCTGGTGGAACCCACGACCATGGTATTAAACTCCTAGATTCTGTGAGTGGGAAATTCATCTTCATGACAGGGGCCTCCACTGGAAATGCTCAGATGCTGGCAGCATCCAGACATCTGGGAACTGGAATCATCTGGAGACTTCTTGATGCACATGTCTGGTGCCTGGACTAGCGTGACATGAAGGCTGGGCTGTATCTGGAACTCCTGACAGGAACATCTACAAATCGGCTCATCATATGGTTTGGACATTCCCAAGAGGGAGCATCCAGAAAGCAAACGTGCCAAGAGAACCAGGTGAAAGCTGTGTGACCTTTTCTGAGCTAGTCATACGGCTTCCCTCTCATTTCGTGGTTACAGCAACTCTGGTGAGAGTTCAGAGCAGCCTGGGTTCCAGGGCACTTGGCAAGATCACACTACTGTAACAATCTTGGAAAAATATACTAAGGGGCCTCCCCGGTGGCACAGCAGGTTGAGTGCCATGCTGTGAAGCTGTCTGCAGACTTGGTAGCGCCGGTTCGATTCCCGACTGGCCAGGGAGATTCCCACATGGCACGGCAGACCTCTCCTGTCGTGCCCGCTGCCCCCCTCGGCAGTGTATTTCAGTCGTCTGCCTGTTCTGCTCCCTGCTCTGTCTCTGGTGAATTCTCTCACCCTCCCGCGCCTCTGGACTATACCCCAGTGCTTGTATAAATGAAAAAAAAAAGAAAGAAAAGAAAAATATACTAAGTCACAACTTGACCAGATCATGCAGCTTCCGTCGGGATTCCTGCTCTGATTCTCTGAAAGCAAAGTGTCGAGAAAGAAATACAAGATCCCAGAAGTGGCATCTTTGGAGAAATCCCTTCATTTGTTCCACAGTTAGCTATTGTGTGTCATGGTTATCAAAGTCCTGGGTGACATAGTCTTCCTGCCTCGCTCCAGACCCATCAGAACCATGGGACCCACCTCTCTTTCTTTCTTTTTTAATATTTTAATATTGTATTATTTTTTACAACACTGTGTATGACTCAGAGGTACAGGATCATACCTCGTCAGATGTGAGTTGCCCCACCCCTCTCTCCAACCACACTGACTTGCTTTACTTGTCTCTGGGCAACTCTTTTCTAGAACCTTCCCCCGTCCCCACTCCCCACCCCAACTCCTACCCCCACCCCCCAATCCCCAACTGCCCTATCTCCACCTCTAGCTTGTTAATGCCTTCAGATCTCAGCTTTAACATCATCGCTTCTTTGTGAAAAACTTTCCCAAACTCCCTGATTAGGGCAAATTCTCAGAGTAGATACTCACAGTGCTAAGTATCTTGTCATTCTTGTAATACTTTTAAAGTATTGAATGTCTATCTCCTCATCTTGACTATAACCTCTATGAAGTCAATAACTCTGCTTTTGGAGACCATGGTAAACTTCACACACATGTTAGACAGAGACAGACAGACAGACAGATACACACACACACACACACACACACACACAACTATAAAATCCCTGGCCCAAAGAAGGTATTTAATAAACATTTGTTGGAATAGATTTATATAGCTATTAAGTCCCTCATATCCATCAGACACTGTGTTAGTATGGGACTAAATAGTGACAGAGGCAATCCCACTACTGTCAACTTGAAACCACATCTAGGAGGGAGCCAGGTGACAAGGAGATGTGTATGGAATGCACACACTGAAAGAAGAGGCCTGGGAATGAAAGTAAGGGGGGTCTAACCTAGCCTTGGAGTCTGGGAAAGTTTTCTTGAGAATATGAGATTTCCACCAAGCCTTTCTCCCACCACATACCCTCAAGGCCCCCAGCCCACCCAAGCATTCAGCATGCAGGTCTCAATTTCTTTCTTTCTTTTAAGAGCAAATAATTACTCCTTTTAATTTATATCTATGGAGTTTTGCAGGATAAATCAGGATAAGCCAAAGAATAGGGAGTGTAAATATATTTCTCATTGCGAATGGGCTGTTTAATATTACCATGTGCACTAATTAAGTTGTGTGTAACACGGAGAGCACTTTGACACTGTTAAACTTAATGACCCTCTACTTAAAGAGGAAAGACACATTTACAATGAAATTATAGTCTGAGCTGTAATGCTAGCTGGAGGAATGCCTTCGAGTAGATTGTTTCCAAACGCCTCAAAGCACCAGCTTTGAAATAGCAATAATGTACAAGAGGCAGTGCTATCCTTTAAGCAATTTGTTTGCTGGGATATGTTTTCTTCCTATCCATGCAGCAGAGCTGAAAGTCAGAGCAGCTAGTAAGCTCTGGAATTGTCTTCCTGACCTTTGGAGCCCAAAAAGCATTAGATGCACCGTCTTGTGTCAAGGGCTCACATCAAGGCCATCACTCCCACGCAGGATCTCAGTTATTCTTGATGACAGCCCTATCAGGCGTTTTATAGCCATTTGATAGATGAAGAAACTGAGGCTGAGAGTCTAAATGATTTATTCAGTCCTTCATTCATTTCGACAAGTAGGTTTCAAAGCACTGTGTTCTGAGCACTGTGGATTCAACGGGGTGGGGGTTGACAGGTCAGCAGGGAGCTGGCATGCAGTGACGGGGTGTGGGACTGCCAGGTGTTCTCTCTATAGGGAAGTGGACTCCAGGCAGCTCTGTCTGATTCAGAACCCAAGTCCTAACCTCCATGCTGCACCGCTTCATGCCCAAAGGAAATATCACAAGCGAACCTGAGCTGGTTCTTTGGAGAGAAAGAAGATGAGCAATGAGTTCCAGTTCTTCTGGGGAGACACGAGCTCCCATACCAGGCATAAAATGGAAGAAAGAGAGTTGAGTAGAAACAGATTCTTCCAGCCTAGCCGCAGCCAGGTGAGACTTTTATCAGAGAGAGCTGTTTCTCCAAAGGACGTGTGAAGCATCACAGCTGAAAAATCTGGGCCAAGCACAAGATCTTCCAGAGCTACAGGGTGAACTATTTGCTAACACAAGTCATCATATATTTTATTAATTCATTTCTTAAATAATATTATAAAGCACCTACTGTGAGTCAGGTAAAAACTGAAACTTGTGCACAAGGTAGATGCTGCCCCCATGTACAGTGTTGACAGTGTAGAAAGACCTAGATTCACTAGAAAGCAACTAGCAGAAGCCTAATATGTTGTCTCCCTAACTCAGGATCAAGAAACAATTGTGTAATCCCACTAATTTTCTTTTTCATTTCTCCCTCCTCTACACTGTAGGATTCAAGGAACTCCCGACCATGGCTGTTTTGTTTAACACAATCTATCCATTGCCTAACTAGACCAGACACAAAATTGGTCCTCAACAAGTAGTGAATGAACATATGGATGGATGGATGAATGAATGAGGCCAACCTTGAATTACTCCAAACCTAACCCAAGTAGGAATGGTAGAAATCAGAGGCTTATGAGAAGTGAACTTATTAAGAAGCTGGTCTGGGGCCTCTCCGGTGGCGCAGCGGTTGAGCGCTGGGTTACGAAGCTGCCCGCAGCCTCTGCAACGCCGGTTCGATCCCCAACTGCTCCCCGGCCACTGGAGGAGGGTCCCGCATGGCGCGCAGACCTCTCCTGCCGCCCGCTGCTCCCCTCAGCAGTGTATTTCATCAGTCTGCCTGTTCTGTTCCCTTCTCTGGCTCTGGTGAATTCTCTCGCCCTCCCGCGCTTCTCACTGTACCCAGTGCTTATATAAATAAATAAATAAATCTTAAAAAAAAAAAAAAAAAGATCCTTATAAAGAAGCCGGTCTGGTTAACATCATTTTTATCTACCAATATCCCCTTCCCTTTGTGTTGCTAACACAACCCTGGCTTGGCTAGCAATGCACCCAATTAGAGCATTCCTTCCCAGATTCCCACATAGCTGGCGATAACCAGGTCAACAATTCTGGCTAATGAGGTGTCAACTGAAATTAAAAGTGGGGCTTCCAAGAAAATGATTGTTTTCCTGATAACAATGAACAGACTCAGCTGGCACACTATTTTTTCTCCTCTTCCCTCTAATTCCTACCTGAAATTCAGAAGCAATGCCTGGTGATGTCATAGCCATTTTACAACCATGAAATGCAAGTCACAGGCTAAGGATATTAGAGCAAAAAGCCAGAAGTCTGAATCCTTGATTTTTCCTTAAGCAACTACCCACAGACCTGGACTGTAATTTCCATAATACATTCCACGTGAGGAGAATAAGCCGCTCTTTCTGTCTCCACAGATTCCAAAGCATCCTTGGACAGAATTTGGGTTTCAGGAACTTGCGGGGGGAAAAGGTTACGTCATTTTTAAAAACCTCTGAGGTACAGCATTCCCTTCCATTATGTAAGTGGGCAAGAGACCAAAGCAGAATCAGCAATGCCTGTGACTTTGTCGATAGAAATCACAAAAGTCTTCATTTAACATTGCAGTGGTAGCTTTTTTCTTGAATTATCACTTGCAGTTATTACTATTAAAAATTTCTGGTGACTAGTTATCAGACTCATTGCTTGATCCAATTATTTAATGCTTTAATAAAATGGTATATACACTGCTACATCCCAAATTTGAATTTTTAAAAATATTTTAATAACTATTTCAGCATAATTGGTTACCCTCATAGTTTTACATATTCTTTTCTATTCTAATCTAGTCTGTTCTAGTCTATTCTATCCTATTCTATTTTATGCATGTAAAAACAGTCATCTACAGGATTCCCCAGATTGCAAAGGAGGTCATGGCTCACAAAAAGTTCAGCTCCTCTATTCCATTGAGTTAAGCTCTGTGATCAAGTTTCTTTATACAAGCACAACAAAATTCCCAATGGACCTCCCAACATCACCAGCTGATACAAGGGCAACTCTGAGGGATGGCAATTTCTAGAACCAAAATAGAGATGCTGATAAGTAGAGAACATGTTTTGTAACTGATTTCCCTTTGATCTTGATATTTTTTCCCTAGCCCTAAGAACCCCCTGTTGAAATGCAGTTTCAGTAGGAAGACAGTAGAGGAGGCCCTCACAAGTCTCTCGCGGACTGGGTCTTCCAATAATCACAGAGCAACATCAGGTGCTGATGTGGAAAATGGCAGCCTTCTGTCAGTGTATGGTTCCCCAGGCCCAGAAAGTTTTAAAAATTTATGGGGATTTTGCCCTACCTGTACTATCACCCTCCGGCAGGCTTCCCCCATGCCCTTCTTGCAGGCAGTTGCTGTAAACTTTATGGTGGCTGATGTTATGTCCTCCTGCTGGCATGATTTGTACTCTGATGGTTATGCAGCTTGGCATGCCTAACCTTTGAATGGCCTGCCCTTCATCACAGCTGCCGGCTTGCCCAGAGCCATTTGTCCAGACCGCAGCCTCTTGGCACCTTGTGACATGATTCCCATGGACTGATGGGGAAACCATAAGAAATAATATGTCACATCTACAGAGTGATCAGAGGTCACCCCTTCTCTGTGGTAATAGTACATCTGCCCCAGAGAGATGAAATGACCATCATTTGTAATGATGAAAGCCAGTCAGCTTTATTTTCCTATTGTGTTTGACCATAAAACAGAGCCAGAGCCTGAGAAAGACCCAGAAGGTCTCAGACACCAGTGGGAACGCCTCACGTTGGCAGTTGCTGGGCAGCACGGGACCCTTATGGAGTGAAGGTCCTCTGCTCCCCCCAGCCTAGGACCCCAAGACAGATGCTACTCTCATGCTTGTCAAGGACCCTGAGTCCAGTGAGTGTCCCTCCCAGGAGGCTTTGTGTACTACTTTGACTAGAGGTAGACAGTGAATGTGGCAGTTATCTATTGCTGTGTAACAAATTACCTCAAAACTTGTTGGCTCCAAATAATAAACACTCCTCTGGTCATAAATCCATGCACTAGAGCTCTGGTCTCAACTGAAGGCTAGACTGAGGAAGGATCTGCTTCCAAGCTCACTTACATGACTGCTGAAAGGGTTTAGTTCCTCACAGGTAGTAAGGGCCTCAGTTCCTTGCTGCTAGTCAGTTGCCTCCCTCAGTTCCTGGCCAAGTGGGTCTCTCCACAGGGACAGCACATGACATGGTAGACGGATGCCATGAGAGCAAACAAGTGAGAGCAGCAGAGCATGACCAAGATGGAAGCCAGAGTCTTTTACATTCCTTCACTCTTGTCACATTCTGTGAATCAGGAGCAAGTTGTTGGATCCAGAGGACCCCTGAAGGGAGGGAACTGCACAAGACTGCATCACTGGGACTCACCAAAGAAACTGCCAACAACAATGGTAAGTATTGTAAAACTCTGTTCATACTTGATGCATGCATTACATTTCTGAACCTAATTTCTTAAACTTCTATCTCCAAGTCACAAGTATATTGTTGCCCACCACCAGGGGTCCTTAACCTGAGATCCCTGGCATTGTGGGAAGGTTTTAGGACTTTCCTGACATTGTGGGTCAAAGGCTGGATATACATAGATATTTTGGGGTAGACTCTATTTTCATTAGATTCCCAAGTGGGATCAAACCTTAAAAAAAACGAAGAATCACTCACCGTGATGTTTAGAAACATCTGTGTTCCTAAAATGCCCTCAGACCGTATGGAAGGCCAGTCAAAGAAATGGCCACACAGCAAGTTGGAGCTGGTGGGACTCAGCTGGCCTGCTTGAGTTCTTCTCAGCCTACAGGTAGAGAAACAGGGGCCTGAGGAGGGGATGGGGGACAGGTAAAGGTAGAGGCCCAGGATCACAGATGTCCTGGCGTGTCTGCAGGCCAGATGGTTGCATGTGTCTGCTGCCCCTGATCTCATTAGAGATCAGGGAGCGGTGCTGTGCTTTTTAGACGGCTGCCCCGCACATGTGGGTCTTTGCCAGGAAACAGTATAAATGTTGCTGCAACACAGTGTCCTGACATGTAAAATTTATCCTCAACTCTTTGCTTATACTTCCAATTTTTTCCCTTCAACTTGTCTGAAAAATGTTGCTAAATATAGCAGTTCACTCTCCATAGGGCAGCAAATGAGCACTATTGACTTGGAAACTCACACTGTTTACTGTCGGGAGGGAGAGGAGCGAGAGATGAGGGGTGGTGCCTATGATGAAGCCACTTTTACAAAGGCACTCCCTCTAATCCAATCCTTAGTCAATAGTGTGTCTGACTTTAACTACCCCTTCTGCACCCTTAAGATATGTGACCGTGAGTGAATCACTCGACCATTCTGGGCCTCAGTTTCCCTGTCTGCAACATGAAAATAATAAGGGGATCCTCCCTATAAGACATGGGGAGTATTAGGTCAGATAATAGTATGAAACACTGAGCCTAGCATCTGGTCCAAGAAAGACTTAGACAAGGGAAAGCCCTGCAGCCCAGGACCCCATGGCTGAGTCTCTTCTCTACCACTCCCAGTTGACCTTCAGCCTCCAGCTGCTCTCTCAAGAACAGGACAGACCTGCTCAGAGATGCTCAGAGCCACAACCTCGCTGCCCTCCCAGCCTTTCCATCTCCACCTTTCAGTACACTTTCTATTCATCGCAGCCCCTGGGAAGGACATGGGAGCAGCGCTCACAATCCTCTCCCCCTCTGGACTGGACGGCTTGGGAAAGAGAGCAAAATGACTCAATCAAATCCCCTTGCAAACATGCTAATAACCAGCCTTTTGAAAAACACAGATAATACTCACGGGGACCAAGTCCTTACCCATGGAATGTTCTCAGCAGGATATACCTGCTTATGGCAAACAAATCTGAAACCTGTAGATTCATAGGGCAAGCCTCCCTGGAAGGTGTCATGTCATCTTTGTATTCATCAGAGTATAAAATGGAGATGCTTAATGATGGGAATCGTTCTCTTTTGACTAAGTGTTGCTTGCACAGGCTTTGATGAATGGCTTCATTTGCTAAATCTGGAAGAGGGCGCACCCTCTGTAGCAAGAGAGGGTCTGGGGATGACACTGCTAGTCCCTGGCCCCTTCCTGACTCACCGGTGCTTGGCAATAGACTGTGTCCTTTAAATGGTAGTGAAGCTGGATACCAGGTAAGGGCGCTGATTCTTGCAAGTCTGACTTGGTAAGCCAAACCTGAAGAGTGAGCTGCAGAGGCTGTGGTAACATGTACCGTGACCACATGGGGTCAGGGCCCTCATCACATTTGTGTCACCCACTGGACCTGACCCAGCAGGTGCTCAGTAAGTGGTCACTAAGTAAGTGTTAGTTGTTTCATCTTAGGAATTGCCTTTTTAGCCCCCGACAGTTTTAAAAAAGCATTCAGCAATCACACAGCAGGGAGGAGAGCAGGAGAGGGAGCTAGACAGGTTAAGGGGGAAGAAGTCATGCAGAAAGCTGTGTGTTTCCTCAAACCCATTCTGAACACTTTAAGTCACCACCCAGAAATTGCCACCAATGTGACAGAGATCTGGCAGGTATTGAATGCCATTCAAAAGCAGTCCCCCCCAGCTCAGATTTACTCCCTGTCATTGTGATAAATAATGCATGGATTAAGAAGGATTTACATTG